ATGATGCAAGAATGCTTGACCTAAGAAATTGGCAAACTACAGCCCATGGACCTGTTTTTGTATGGCCTTCTAGTTGTGGTTTTACAACATTTTTAAAGGTTGCTTAGAATATATGTGGCAGAGACCAGAAATTTATATGGCTACCAAGCCTGAAATACACTTACTCTTTGATTCTTTAGGTGGCTACAAAAAAATGAATACCAAAATACTTTCCACTCTAAAAATCAGGAAGATGTTATGCATGCTAAGTGCCGAATTATGAGGTTGGATAGGCTTTTGTGGCCTAGCTTGGATTGCTAATCACTGCTAATAAAATTATAAAATATGTATATAAATTGCATTCCCTTGAAATGGTTTCATAAGTAAACCATTTGTCACTTATTAAATATATTGGCTACACATTTTTTTGATATTTATAAATAATGATGAAAGATCACACTTATTTTTTTTAAAGATAACAAGTAGTTTGTAGTTCTCTTTACCATCTAAAACCATCCTGGTAGTAGTAACACATAAGTAATGATACATAGCAAGATTAGTTTTGCTTCATAAAACTTTTTACATTTTCAATTTGATATATTAAAAAAAAAAAAAACTAAATGTTAGCATGAGCTGTTTAATTAACATAAGCCAGGAAAAAGATTCAACTCTTACTTCTTCACAAAAATTCAATTTATAATACTATAGAACTCTGAACATTTGTGGAAGTAACAGCCTGTTTCAGACCTTAATGTTCTCTTTAAATTCCTTAATGAAGTTTTACATTAATTATCAATTGTTTTTTGTATTTCGTGTATTCACAAAGGGACATTCCATGGTGGGGCACCTGGGTGGCTCAGTCAGTTAAGCATCTGCCTTCAACTCAGGTCATGATCCCACCACGGTCCTGGGATCAAGCCCCATGTCAGACTCCCTGCTCAGTGGGGAGCCTGCTTCTCCCTCTCTCTCTCTCTCTCTCTCTCTCTCTCTCTCTTCAGCTCCCCCTGCTTATATGTGCACACACCCTCTTTCTCACTCTCAAATAAATAAAATCTCTTTTTTTTTTAAAAGGACATTCCATGGTTCTGTTGTATTCCAGATAGTAAGTAGATATTAGGTAGAATTAACATGGGGAAGGAAAACAAAATGGGAAAATAACAAGATACCCTTTTCTTACCCTTATTGTCTTTTTTTTTTTTTTACCCTTATTGTCTTATAACTAAAGGTTTTAAACTCATTGTTCCTCCACATACTTAGCTTATTAGAGTATGTGTCCTTGTTAGTATGAGTCATTATGTACATTTTTAAGGATAATTAATGAAGGCAGTAGTGCTATTTATAATATCTTCAGCCTCCTAAATTTTTTATAAAATTTAAATATATGTAAAATATATAACTAATAAATTAAGAAATTTATGTCTTTGCATTATTTGAAGCTGACATATATAGTTTAGCTTTGAGTTCTGTGTAATACAAAAATGTCATTATATCTTGCATATTGTTTTAATGAAGAACATATAAATAAATATAGGTAAATACAGCATTTATGTTTCATTGATTTTTAAAAAAATATCCATGGCTTATGATTTCACTTATACACGAGATCTAAAAAAACAAATGAACAAACATGCAGAAACAGACCCATAGAGAACAAACTGGTAGTTGCCAGATGGGAGGGGTTAGGGGATGAGCAGGACTAGTGAAGGAGAGTGGGAAGTTCAGGCTTCCCATTATGAAATGAGTAAGTCATAGGGATGAGAGGTACAGCCTAGGGAATAAGGTCAGTGGTATTACAGTGGTATTATATGGTGACAGATAGTAGCTGCACTTGCAGGGAGCATTGCATAAACTGTTGGGACTACATCTAAATAAAAAGCTTATGCCCAGTAAGGGAAACAGCCAATAAAACTAAAAGGCAACCTACAGAATGGGAAAAGATACTTGCAAGTGATATATGCAACACAGGGTTAGTATCCACAATATATAAACAACTTATAAGACTCAATGCCCAAAAAACAAATAATCCAATTAAAAAATGGGCAGAAGACATGAACAGACATTTCTCCAAATAAGACATCTAAGTAGCCAACAGACACTTGAAGAGATGTTCAGCATCACTCATAATCAGGGAAATACAGATTAAAACTACAATGAGATGTCACCTCACGTCTGTCAGAATGGCTTAAATAAAGAATATAAGAAAACAACAAGTGTTGGCGAGGATGTGGGGGAAAAAGGAACCCTCATGCACTATAGGTGGAATGCAAACTGCTACAGCCACTGTGGAAAATAGTGTGGAGTTTCCTCAGAAAGTTAAAAAATAGAACTACCCTATAATCCAGCAATCTCACTACTGAGTATTTACCCAAAGAATGTGGACACACTAATTCAAAGTGGTACATGCACCCCTGTGTTTATAGTGTTTATAGTAGCATTATTTACAATAGCCTATATATGGAAGAAGCCCAAGTGTCCATTGGTTGATAAATGGATAAAGACAATGTGGTCTATATAGCTATATATATATAGATATATAATGGGATATTACTCAGCCATAAAAAGAAATGAAATCTTGCCATTTACAACATGATGGATCTATAGAGTATAATGCTAAATGAGGTAAGTCAAAGACAAGTATCATACCAAATCACTTAAATTTTTATAGCCCTCATTCATAAGTACACGTTTTTATAGTTAAAAATATATATAAATTGCATATTGTTTTACTTTTCTAAGCATACAGCTATTTAGCTGTCATCGTGATCGTTTCTAAATGCATTCCCTTGAAATGGTTTCATAAGTAAACCATTTGTCACTTATTAAATATATTGGCTACACATTTTTTGATATTTATAAATAATGATGAAAGATCACACTTATTATTTTTTTTAAAGATAACAAGTGGCTTATAGTTCTCTTTACCATCTAAAACCATCCTGGTAGTAGTTACACATAAGTAATGATACATAGCAAGATTAGTTTTGCTTCATAAAACTTTTTACATTTTCAATTTGATATATTAAAAAAAAACTTGCCAGTTCCATAATAGGAAGTAAATTGCACTAATCAAATGATAAACCCTAACTTCCAGTGCTATTGAAGAATCTGTTGATAAAATGCAATAGCTATTACTTATAAAAATTCTTTTTTTTTAAAGGAGCAGGTTTTTTTTTTTTTTTTTTTTTTAAGAGAGAATCTTAAGCAGGCTCCACTCTCAGTGCAGAACCCAACATCTGGCTTGGTCTCACGACCTTGAGCTGAAATCAAGATTCAGATGTTCAACTGACTGAGCCACCCAGGCACCCCTTAGAGGAGTTTTTAAAAATGACTTCTTACTGCTACTTTTAGAAGTTCATTCTTTGTACTTAAAAAAGTACATAAAGATATAAAATTGAATAGAACATTAAGCTCCGTGAACCCAGGCAATTTTGACAGTTTTGCTTAGTGCTACATCTATCTCTAGGTCCTAGAACAGTACCTGGCACATATTGGACCCTCAAAAATTATTCGTTGACTAGATTTTCAATGGTATTAATTACAGTGTTACTTGATATATTGAAAAAATTGGTAACACTCTTAACATTCATTAATAAGGGGTTGACTAAAATATAAAATCACCAGCCATACAGTAGAAACACTATTTTCTTGGAAAAAAGTAGATTGTTCCATGTTTATTGGCACTGACACAATATTTCATTTTGTGATAAATGCAAGTGGAATAACAGTATATTTAAAATGATACCACTTTTATTTTTAATGTTTTGATTTAAAAATACATAATCCACCTAGTTTAAGAACAGCAGTTCTTAAACCTTTATGATTTCAGTACCCTGTTACAGTCCTAAAACTACACTGAATATGGTAGATAGATAATTTTGATACATATTTACCTTATTAGAAATTTAAGCAAATTTTAAATTGTGTAAAATAAGAATGAACTAATTACTTGTTAACATAATGTATTTTTATGAAAAATAACTGTTTCCCAAAATAAAAACGCTTAGTGAGAAATGGCATTGTTTTACATTTGTGCAAATCTTTTTAATCTTTACTATGTAGGCTAATAAAAACTGGATTTTCATATCTGCTTCTGTTTTGGGTCTGTTTCAATGTTTTGGCTGAAGTACATCAAGAAAATCTAGTCTCATACAGATACGTAGTCAAAACGGGAACATTTTAATACTCTTTTCAGATAATTGTAGATATTCTTTGTTGATACTGCATCGAAACTCTTTAAGAGGTAGTTTCTTCAAGATTAGTTGCAATGTGCAGTTTGAAGCCATATCAGTGATTTTTGTAAAGTCTGTCTCTAAAGTCCTTTGTTTTGCATGTAAAATAGATCTTTTACCTATGCAAGATTTAATAACTCCTGCATGGTTCATTTGGAAAATACTAGTTTGCTGTTTATGCAGATATTCCCAATGTTGACATCTTTCATTATGCCATACCACAAAGTCACATTCTTTAATATTACTCAATTTCATTGCAAAAATTTTTAAGTATTGTGAAGTCATCAAACTCCTAGTAATGGATGCAACTTTTTCTAAATTTTACTTTTCACTTGAAAGCTTGAATGTTATCATTGGTAACAAAGTCAGCTGTTTTTCTTTAGTTGACATGCTTGCTTCATTTACTTACTGAGAAAATGTCAGTGAAACAGGCAAGTCTGAATAGTTTGCCATTTGTTCATCTAAAAATATAGGGTTCTATAAAAAAAATTAGCTAATTCACTTTTATCACAGTGATACTTAAAAGACAAATTATATTTCAGAAAACCCCGAAATCTGTAAATGTAAAAGAACCAAAAAGAAAATATAACAAAATATTAACTGTACTTATCTTAGGAAGATGGGGAAATTGTGACTTTTTTTCCCCTTTCATTTTTCTGCAATACAGTTTTGTTATGTAATACAGTTTCAAGTGTTATATAAAGATAAAAGTATGGTATTTATAGTATAGCTTATAGAGTCAAATGAATATGAATTATTAGGAATAGTTATGTTCTCTATTTTCCTTATTAGGATATAGGCCCTGAATATGAAGATATATTTAATATTTCTTTGAAGTGGATTTTAGAAAATGGAAAAGATGTTGGAATAAGGTAAAGGATTTAATTTCCACTTTGACTACTTTGTAGTATAAGAAGTAATTTTGCCTCTAAAGTCTCCTTAATTATTTTTAACTAGGTGTGTTGGTTATGGCCCTGAGGAGCAATTGACAAACATAACCGATGTGCAGTTCTTACAGTCCACAAGACCACAGATGTCTTTCTGGTGTCGCTTTCGACGTGCTTTTATTACTGTCACCCACAGGTTATTGTTGTTATGCTTAGGTAAGTTATTGGGATGAGAAAGAAGATACATGGCAGTCTAGAATTTTTATAGCTGTGTTTCACCAAATGGCAGGGTTGAGAATTTACTTCTGTGATAGTTGCCATTATAAATCACATACAGAAGCCTTCACTAGGGTAGAATAATATTGAAGCTGTTTTTTTTTTTTAAATAATGTCAGTATTTAAGGGCTTAGAAAACAGTGCTATAAGTGGAGGTGGAATAAAACTTTATTATAAGAATGTCATAAAAAAGACATAGATTATCTTTAGAAAATAGAACAGGAAATATGAAAAGCTGATTTTCAAAATGATAAAGTATAAATTAAGTTCATTAAAATTATTATTAATTTAAAAAATATAATTTACCTGCATTAAAATTTTTACTTGGGTTCCTTGATTTTATGTGACTTTTGATTGATTATAGAAATTTAGAAGATAACGCATTTATTTCTTTTCTCTAAGTCCTTTAAAAATAATTTTCCTAAGATGTAGTATGTTTATGGTCTTTGGAAACCCACTTTTCTGATAGTTTAATGTGGCAAAGGAAAAAGCTTGTGAAACATAGTTATGCTGTTTTCAAAAAAATAATAGAATTTAAAATGTTCAGCTGTCAACATCATGGAAGAAATGGTTTCTAGAGAGATTAAGTGAAACTCTGGAAAATGCTCAATACTAAATTGTTTTATGCGGTTGTAATTTATGTAGGTAATTCAACCTACTGTTATGAAGGCTCATTCCATTATCCTATTATGGCAGTTAAAATAATCACTGTGGAAACTATCATAAGATTTCTCTTTTTGCTTTGTTTTGTTAACATCAGATTTAACGACTAGACCAATAACTTCAGATGGCAGTGAATATTATTGAATGTCACTGAGCACAATTTTTCAAACACAAAACTTATAAATATTGCAGGTGTTGTGATGGTTTGTGTCGTTCTGCGTTACATGAAATATCGCTGGACAAAAGAAGAGGAGGAAACAAGGCAGATGTATGATATGGTGGTAAAGATTATAGGTATAAGTATTTGTAAAAATCTAAACTATTTCTATAATAGTAATTATGTGATAAATTATAACATGATCAATGATTGATTCATTTGTAAATTTATCATTTCAGATGTTTTACGAAGTCATAATGAAGCTTGCCAGGAAAATAAAGACTTACAACCTTACATGCCTATTCCACATGTGCAAGATTCCTTAATACAACCTCATGACAAGTATGTTCAAAGTATTACAAGTTTAAGTAGAACAGAATGTTGGTATAGTATTTTCTGAAGTTGTGAAGATTATATCGGGAATTGAAGCCTTTCTCAAGTAGAGCTGTTCTGTACAGGCTTTATTTTTTGTACTTAAACTCTCCTTCCTTTTTAAATTCCCTTCTGTTCTGATTTTGAGCAGCGTAAAGACAACTGGATTTCTAAATCATGATCACTTTTATACGTTTTATTTTTATCTTCACCTTATTTCCTTTAATTTCATCTTCATAAATTGACAGATAATAGTGATGTTAATAACGCCTTAAATATTTTGTTAATGAAACTTTTTCAGTAAAAGTACTAAATAATGACTTCTTGAAAATAAATGATTCCATATCCTACTGTAGCATTCTTCACCATAGCAACACCTCAGAATCATTAGTGGAGTTGGGGAGGGGGCGGATTACTGATGCTTCACCTCTGAAGAATGAAATTCAGTAAATTTGAGGTGAGCTTTAGGCATCTAAGTCTTTTTTGAAAAAATTTTGTAGGCAATGATAAGGAAAATCAGAAATAATAATAACCCTTGCCTTCAATTAGTAATACTTGAAAAAGATGACAAGCCAAGATGCCAGTAAATTTGTCATTTTGTTCACATGATAGAAAAAAAATGAAGAAAGTCTGGGATAGAGCTGTTGACTTCCTTGCTGCTAATGAGTCAAGAGTTCGCACAGAGACACGAAGAATAGGTGGTGCAGATTTTCTAGTTTGGCGATGGATCCAACCTTCTGCCTCCTGTGACAAAATATTAGTAATACCTTCTAAAGTATGGCAAGGTCAAGGTATGTATTTTTAAACAACAAAAATAAACATAGTGTTTTTCCAATTTTTTTCAACTATGAAAGTCTTAATATGTTTAAGGTAAAATACTACTGTTGAAAAATGCAAGGGCAAAGCTTCCTTTGCAGTTCTATTCCATAGAAGGAATTACTGTTAGCTTTCTTATATATCCTTTCTTCTTTCAAAGATAAACATAATGGTTTGTCTTTACCATAAGAGAACACTACATACATTATTGTGATTTTTTTCCCTTTTTTACTTAAAACAACTTAGTATTATAGATCTAACTGCATTCTTTTTCCTTAATTTTTATGCAAATATGGCAATTTATGTTTTACATTACATAAAACATATAAAAGTGGAACATAACTTTTTAATTGCTTTTTTTTCCAAGTTTTGTTTGCCTCTTTTTCATTGAGACCCATCCACCTGCCCTGTGCCACATAGCTCTTATGGCTTTCTTTCCGTATTTTTCTCTATGTTTTCATGGTTTCAAAAACAGGTGTATATAAGTATATAGGAGGGCTTGGTGATTGATTGCCTTAGGTTCCCAAATCTCTGCTAGTGATAACTGTTACCTCACTTGAATTTCTTGTATGGTTAGTTGCAAATGAAAATTGTGCAGTTTAATGTGCATTTCAGAACTAGTAGTGAGTTGAGTTTCTTTAAATCTTGTTGGGTAAAAGCATATTTATTCAATGTTTGCTAAACATAGTATTTATGAGAAAGTTAATCGTTTTGAAAAAAATTGCGAACAAGTATAATCCAGACACTTCCTTTCTTCTCTAATTTTCACTTTCAAAGAGCTTGAATGATCATAGTGTTCAATAATCATGGCATAAAAATGATGCTTTGATGATATCAAAGATGGCACTAAACATTAAACTTTTTGTTTTAAAAGGTGTCTACAGAAGGGTCCTATAAAATGAAAACAGAGTGCAAAGCCAGTCAGATCTGATTACTGTAGTGTTTGATTATAAATGGTTGTGGATTCTCAACCTGATTTTTTCATACAGCTGGCAATTGGTGCTTATGTATGCATAGGAAGTTCTAGAAATGGCCATTATTTTGTTCATATGGATTTATTTTTATCATTGTAGTTGTCTTATTTTTAAAATATGAGATTTTCAAGATCAATCTAGAGAAAATTTCTTGACATAAGTAATTCAGATTGTTCTAAATTAGTGGGAGGGATGACAGACTCTGTGTGAAATTGGATGCTCCATATCTAGAATATAAAACCTCAAGACTATTATTTTCATTTTACCATTTTCTTTCGATAGGAGAAGACTGTATAAGTATGATGTAAGACAACTTTGGGTCAGTTCTAAGTTGTAAAACTCAATATGAATCAATAGAGTAGTTCTAAAATGTTTTGCTATTTTGTTTCATCAAAGTTTCCTATAGTAAATGTTTACAAACTATATGCCAAGTACTGAGCTATCTTAATTTGAATACTTCTAAATGTACACTGTGAAGAATTATAAAATCAGTCTCCCTTTACTTGAGAGTCTTTGATTAAAAAAAAAAGTTACAGTGAATGAATTACTGAACCTAGAAAGAAATTAAGAATAAAATAAGACACCTGTTGTTTAGTAAATTGAAAAAAAAAATGGCTGAGATTATGTTATCCTAAAGGCAGAAAATCCTGAGGTAGAACCTAGTAGCCATTAGCTTGAAATACCAATTCAAATTTTTAGAGATTTGAAAGGCTATAGACTCCTATCAAGAGATTTGAATTCTTCAAGCCATTAGCTTGAAATACCAATTCAAATTTTTAGAGATTTGAAAGGCTATAGACTCCTATCAAGAGATTGGAATTCTTTTAAGAATTTGATCATAAAAGAATTTGTTATAGGAGCAGAATAATGAGAAGTTGGTGGGATATTTCTTAATGATAATTATCTATATTGCCTTATTTAAGAACATATGGCCCTGATAAAAAGAGAATTTATTTTAAATATTAATTACATTTTATGCCATTGAGTGTATAGTCTATCTAAATATAAGTGATTGACTTTGCTTGTTAAAAATATTAATACGTAAACTAAGTTTTGCTTTCATTTAAATGTATCTGAACACATGTGCTATAAATATGGTTATATAGTGAGGGGTTTGGGTTGTTTAAAAAGATGGTTTAATTTATTAACAGGCTTGATGTTTATCCTCTTATAAATAACAGTGGTTTAATTAAAAGGTACATGGCTGGAGGGTTGATAATTATAGTATCTTTTGAATTCACTCCCACTACAAGCTGTTTTCATTTAATTGTATTTTTTTCCAAGTAATTGTTAAATAATCAACCTTATTGAATTTTTAGTTCATTTTCTAAAGGATAGTTAAGTATAAATTGCATTCTTATGTAGCGTTAGTATCTCCAGTGGTATTTTAAAGTGCCAGTTAAACATCAAATTTTACCTGCTTGGGAGAATTATTTATGTTTCTGATGAATATAGTCTTCAGAATAAACAACATTCAGTTGAAGCATCCAAACATAGTTCTTGAGGTATTTGAAATGTATCATTATTTAGTAACCACTGTCTCTGCTTATACCAGGAGATGATTACAATTTAGTTAGGGAGACAAAGTATATGTCTTAAAAATCAGTTTGATCTTCACAACTACTTTTTGACTAGAGTTGGCCAGGAATAACTTCTAGATCCATTATTTATGGAAACTTGGGTCTAGGCTAGGATAAGATGATATTAATGCTTCTGTTTTCTATGGTTCATTCCCTGCTTGCCCAGGCCAATATTGGAATTTCAAGGAACTCAGATTGCCTGCAACTAAAAGGTCATTTAAGGACACAATCTATATATATACTGCTAGAGGAGTCTGTCTGGGTGGTACTAGAGTTCACAGACTTTCTTAATCTGGGATTTTGCAAAAATTTTTCATGTGTAGTGGCCATTTCCTCATACCATATCAGGCACTGTTAGGACATTCACACCCTAGACATTTCTTTTCACTAGGTACTTCTGAAATCTTTCATTAATATACTCGTGTCTATTTTTTTTCCAAGTTTTTATTTAAATTACAGTTAGTTAATGTACAGTGTAATAGTAGTTTTAGATGTTGGATTTGGTGATCATCACTTACATATAACACCTAGTCCTCATCACAGGTGCCCCCTTTAATCCCTGTCACCTATTTAACACATCAGTATACTCTTTAGCCATTAACTTATCCTTTAAACTTTCCTGATATATATATATATATATTAAATCCCCAGACTCTCCAGTTCTTCCATGTACCTACTTTTTCCAGTTTTTCAGTCTTCCTCCTATCTTTCTTTTCCTGTCCATCTTAGTTTCCATAACCCATTCCTCCAACCCTTTTCTTGCTAGTACCCTTAAGTCATTACCTATATCCTTCATCTTAGCCTAGTAAATTCCAACCAAGGATGAAACTATTTTGTCGATGCCTTGCTATGGATAGGGAGCTGAGCATAGCAGAAAGTCATACAGTTCTACAGACTGGTACATCATAAGTAATTTCAATTAGGCCCTCAGCACTGTCTGACTTTCATGTTCTCTTTTTTAAAAAAAATAATTAAATGCAATTTGCCAACACATAGTATGATACCCAGTGCTTATCCCATCAAGTGCCCTCCCTGACTTTCATGTTATATTTTACTGGTCACTTAACTTTCCTACTCAGTAACAATTTTAGATCTCTCCATCTTTTCAAACCTTTGCCTGTCTCCTGATTCTCAGTCGTTGACTTGAATAGAAGCAATCAGATTGTACCTTCTACAGATTTCCACAACCAAATCTATAAAATTGCCAGAATCTACACTCACCCTCACCTCCTATTGGAATTGCGGAGTTTTCTCACTTAACAAAGACCTGAGCCCTTCCCTCCATAGAGAGTGGGATCTAAGTCCTCTGGGTCCCATTCCCTCCAGTCTTCTCAAGTATCTTTGCTTACTGTGTTCTAAATCCCTGCCTCTATGGGTTCTTTTCATCAGTACTTAAACATGCTGTATAGTCTTTCTCATCTTTTAAGACCTGTTGGAGACTACATTGTTCTTTAGCTATCACTCTGTCTCTCCCTCCCTCTCTCTACCTATTTATAGCCAAATAGCAATGAACAGTTTATTATACTCATTATTTTTACTTTTTCACTTCTGTTTTATTCTTCAACTGACTCCAATCTATTTTCCATCCCCATCATTCCAAGGAAACAGTTCTTAGACATTCCTATTGCTATACCAAGTAGACATTTTTCTCTTCTTATTTTACTTGACAATGTTAACAGTTGAGCCTGCTTTAAAACTTTCTTTTGGCTTTGGGCTACTTTTTTTTTTTTTTTTTTTTTTTTTTTTTTTAGCTTTCCTGCTACCTTGACCATTTTTTCGATCTTCTTTTCTAAGTTTTCTTCTTTTCCCAGATCTCTTAAGTGTTGGGAATTTCCCAAGGCCATCTTTTTTTCTCATTCTACCTGTCTTCCTTCCACCTACAGATGATGTCAAGCTGCGACTTGATTTATCATTGGTATGTTGATAACTCTCAAATTTGTATCTTGAATTAAATCCTCTGGTTTTCAGATTTTTATTCCCATCTGTATACTTGTCTACCAGGATATGAACACTACAAATTCAGCATGTGCATGAATTCAGTATCTTCTCTTGCTAAACGGACCTCTTCCCCTAGTATTCTTGTCTAATTAATGATGATAACCCTTCTCAGTTGGTTCCACCATAAACTTGGGAGTAATCCTTAATCTCTTCCTTACCTCCCACGTATAATCTTTAAATAAGTCATGTCAAATCTATTCCATATGTCTTGGATTCTATCTGCATACTTCCATCAGCATTGTTGGTCTATGTTATCCACATTAGTATCATCTCTCAGACGACTATAATAACCTTCTAAATGGTCTCCTTGCATTCAATTTTGTTTCTACTTAGTTGATTCTTTATGAGTCTATATTTAACAGTTATAATTTTAAAAGATCTCATCAAATTATTATTCCTTACAAAACTTGGAATGGTTTTCTATTTCTTTTATGGCAATGTCTAAACTCTTCAGTGTGATCTACATGGTCCTTAATAATCTGACCTTTCTCTCATAAGGCTCTAATGTTCCCTCTCTAGCCACAGTGGCTATCTTTTAGTTACTTGACTACACTGAACTCCTTTTTGCCTCAGGGGCTATATGTAAACTAACACAATTGCTTGAAATGTCCTTTATACCTCTCTTTACTCTGCCTACTTTTAATTTTTTTTAAAGATTCTATTTATTTATTCATGAGGTACAGAAAGAGAGAGAGAGGCAGAGACATAGAGGGAGAAGCAGGCTTCCTGTGGTGAGCCTGATGTAGGACTCAATCCCAGGACCTCAGGATCATGACCTGAGCCAAAGGCAGATGCTGAACCACTGAGCCTCCCAGGTGCCCCTACTCTGCCTACTTTGGTTTATTCTTTAAGTCCTAGAATAAATTTTACTTCCTCAGTGAAGTGTTATCTGATACTTCCAGACCACTTTAAGTTACTTTCATACTTCCGGTATTCTTCCTTCTTAAGATTTACCATAATTAACAGTTTGTTTGTTTTTTGACACTCTTTCTCAATTCTCAAGTCTCTCAGCCCCTTGGTAAACTGCAAGACTCTGTGAGAATAATGATTGTACTCTCTGATGTACTTTAACTTCCAGGGGTCTGGCTTCCAGTAAAAGCATGCAATGAATATTTTTGAAAAAACTGAATAACTGAATACCTTTCAACAAAGTGGAACAGTGACAAATAGTAAAACTAATTTTTTTTGTAGCATTTCATTTAGATAGAAGAAATTCACCGCCAAATAGCTTGACGCCATGTCTAAAGATTCGAAATATGTTTGACCCAGTTATGTAAGTATCACGATCAGAGGTACATGTAATTTTTATTTGGAATATTTGGAATATTCTTATAATGCTATGTCTGTAATTGAATAGTCTCTTTTACCTTTGAATCTCTGCAAAAATGTTAAGCTTTGCTTTTCTTCCTCTTTTGTTAAATTTTAGGCAAAGATTTGACCAAAAGACTTAGATGTATAGTAATTTGCTAAACTTCTACAAATCTTTGTATGTACTGTGAATCCCATAACAGATAAATGCTGAGTCAAATTGATGATACACAGTGATAAACAGTACCCTTTATTAAATGTTTAAGTCTCTTCTGCCAACATTCTTTGCCTCAGTCAGCAATTTAGATAAAAATAACCTGCTATTTTTGAACTTCCAATCTCTAATTGTAAAAATATTTTCTGCAAAGATGTACACGCTTTTCTTTCTGTAAGTCGTTTACTTGCTCATGCAATATTTGAGAAACTTTTCTTTCTATGTAATTATAGCAGCACATGCATCTGGAGATTAGCACAGGCAAAAGTTACTGCCTTAGAAGCTGTAATATTTCATATATAAGCATAATAATTTTTAGAATTTGCTTCCTAGAGGTGATTGCTTATTTGTCCAGTGATATGATAGGTCAGATTCTTTTTTGTAAAAAGAGTCCAGATAGTGGAAACTGTATTATATATTACATATATAAAATACCCATAAGTCTCCTTTAATAACTCATTTATTTCAAGAAATAGTTGCTATAAGATTCCAAATAAGTGACAACATAATTGGAAATGTGGAGAAGCACTGTTATATATGTACACAGCCCTCTCCGTTTTGTATAGGTAGACAAAAACACTTAGCAGTGTGATGATCCCTCTACTGGGAAGTTTACCTCATACCTTAGGGATTAGGAAATCACTGACAGTCCAATATTTTGTTACCTAAGGTAAAGATTTATGATTTAAAGTGTAGCTGCCTTCCCTTTAGCCCACCATCTATATCTCACAAGTGAGACAAATATGCATTGGTGCAGCAGGAAATCTTAAAGCTCTTAACACTTGGTAGGAGGAGAAAAAAGAAATGACAATAGGTACATAAAATTTCAGACCTAAAAATGACCCCACATTTGTTCTGCTCTGGTAGGCTAATCCTTCACTGCCTCAGCTCTGTACATTTTTTTTTTTTTAGCTCTGTACATTCTTAGGGGAAGTGAGAGAAGGTCTGGAAATGTGAATGCTAATATTTTAAAAAATCTATCTACTGCTAGTAACAAACATTTACTTAACTTCTAATTTTAACAATATGTGGTTTTGAAACTACCCACATTCTGGTAGGATAGATATGTTATAAGAGAAAATGGCTTTTTACTGAGTAGGAGTATGGTTGTTGATTTTTGTTTTCATTTTTAGGGAAATAGGGGATCAGTGGCATTTGGCAATTCAAGAAGCAATTTTAGAAAAATGCAGTGATAATGATGGCATTGTTCACATTGCAGTAGACAAAAATTCACGTGAGGTAAACTGACTTTTACTATTGAATTCTACATTTTGGATTTGTTGCTACTAAACTAAGACTGTTTCCTTTTTCTTTCTTTCTTTTTCTTTTTTTTTTTTTTTATTATCACAGGGTTGTGTATATGTTAAATGTCTGTCTCCAGAATATGCTGGAAAAGCTTTTAAGGCATTACATGGCTCTTGGTTTGATGGTAAGAAGTTTGAGTATTACAAACATTTAAAAAAGACTAGTTATGGCATACTGTTAAAGTATACCAGATTTTAAATTAAAGAATTTTAGGTCAGCATTTTTAGAGTAATTATTTAAGATTACTTTATTTGCATATTGTGTTCATATGTCTTTTGCCACAGTTTGTTTTCTATAAATATTAATAAGCACATTTTTACAGATCTAAAATATTATTTTTATCTTACAACAGGGAAATTGGTTACAGTAAAATATTTACGACTAGATAGATATCACCATCGCTTTCCCCAAGCTCTTACTTGCAATACTCCCTTGAAGCCATCAAATAAACATATGAACTCTATGTCTCATCTTCGTCTTCGGACTGGCCTAGCCAATTCTCAAGGAGGTTCCTGAAAAGACTTTCTTCCACTCCTAGGACTGGTATTTACAATAGGAAAATTCCTGTTTGGCTTCCTGTCTTCCTTTTAAATGCTTCTCGTATGTAATATTTTTATTGAATACAGCTCTGTTTGAATGTTCCAGAGATCTTAAGGTTCCAGAGGGACTTAGCAGTGAGGCAGCGATGCTGAGCAAGCAGAACAATTGTTTCGTTCAGTTTTTGGAGCTCAGTTAAGCCAGTGCATTTAAGTTGTGCATGAGGAACATTGACTTTATGAAGCGTTTTCAGATGTGGTGATTGTGTTTTTGCACCACAAGTGTTTGGATAACCACCCAAAAGCATGGTGAAGAGGCTTCTTGTATTTCCATAATTTCATGTGAACTAATGTTGTGAATTTTTGTATACAGTCACCTGCATAGTTCCTTACCAGGCTAATGTGGTAAAACTGTTCATTTCCCAGTTTAACCCTAGGTTTCTATTGCTTGTAAGAGATTCATTTGTTACAGCTGGAATACAGGAAAACTAATTTGGGTTTAGTGGTTTCATTTAAGTGTAGGCGGATGTACATGTACTTCAACTGGCTTTTGTATATATGTATAAATGCTGGTGGTGGCGAAAGTAGTCTTGTTTTGTGAGGATGTCTGCATTAAAGCAGTAAAATAAGCTTCATATTTTATTCATAATCTAATGTGTATATATGTATGTGTATATACGTGTGTATGTGTATATATATGTATGTGTGTATGTGTATATATACACACACATATATACATATGGCTGTACTATCACATAGATCAAACAGCCAGACACCTGCAAGTATTAGATACAAGTTTAAAATATCTTTTATAAGTTTTATATAAAAATGTCTGAGTATGATTTTGTGTGGAAGTTCCGATATCAGTTGTAATGGATTCAAATTTATGTGAGCAATAAAGATGCAATTGGCAGATATTGGAAAAATATTTTGTGAAAAGCTGTATTTATTATAAATACTAGGACTATGACATAGTACTATTGGGATTAAGTCATTTTCCCAATCTATTTATAATTTAATGAAATGTCAGCTCCCCTGTTGTATGTCAAGTTTAAAGCAGGGCATATTATTGCAGCAAAATGTGTATTTGAAAAATTATATTTGAAATTTTGGGTCATGAAAGCTTGCAATATAGTGAATGCACGAGTGACCTTTGCTTTGTGCCTCGGTATTTACTTTGTTTCAGTAAACTTGCTTTATTACTGTTTATGTTTTCAGATTAAAAAAGTTGCTGAGCAGAGTTTACTTGTAATGTAACAATTGGCTTTTTTTTTTAATAACCTGTTGATATATTGATGTCAGTCCGAATGAATATGTGAAACAGCTGGAATTGTACCAATTTCGATTTTGTTTAAAGCTCAGTTTCCTTTTTGTTTTTTTTTTTTTTTATTGTATATGTGTTGGGTTTGCAGCATGAACTTGCACAGATAATGCACGTTTTCTGGTTAAGTAAACATGATGCACACTGTTCTGTAACAGAAAACCCTATTGTGCCTTACCTATGTGCTTTTGTGGGCACCATGTTTATGAAGAATAAAAAACGATTTGTTATCTGAAGAGAATAAATTTTAGATTCTCAGTTTATGTCTCAGATGCTAAAGTGTGAAAATATAAATATATATAATATATAAAATAACCAATCTTTCTGTATTTTATGTGCATCATAGTGATTTATCTGAGCTTAGTGACCCCCATCTTGTGACCTGTTGCAAGAGTGAATGTAAAATAGTTGTGGCATTTTAAAAGGTCGCCTTTTGATGCAGATGCATCTTTTTTTTTTGCTTCTAAAACATATTTCATGTAAACATTGTACATTTATTATTGTAATATATACTATTATGCAGCTTATTTTACCTGAAACTGTTAAGCCGACCAAGATCCCTCCCTGCAAGACAGATGGGAATGTGTATAATAACTAGATATTTGAGAAGTTCTGAAGTTTGATGTAATCTGTTACTTGTCCTGTTTAAAAAAAAAAAAAAAAAAGGAAAAATTCTAATTAAAAATTTATTAGGTTTTTTTTAAATGCGTCTTGGCTTTTAAAAAACTTTTAAAGTGCCCTGTGTCTTTATTTTTTTTTAACATGAAAATAAGTGCCTTTATTTTAAATCTTGGGGATTTGTAAGTACATATATGCTCATAAAGATGGGTGAAGACACTAAAGTTAATTTTAACCATCCATTCCTCAGCATCTTACTTTTCTTTATGAAAATGCCTTTTTCTAACTCTCAAGTGTTTGTATCAAAGTGGGGCAAGACTATCATCTGTGTCACTAAAGCAGCACTGTACATTTTATCATAGCAAGACTTTCTCAAAAAAGGAAGCCATTCTTTGACACATTCTGCTTACTTAAAACTCCTTATCTCATTATAAACCAACAGTTTATGGGCTAGCTACTTTGAATAGCATTGCAATGTGTAGAATTTTTTATAATCAGGTAAAAAGAAGACTTGATTAGTCAGTCAATTGCTAGACTCTTATTGACTGCTAACAAAGATCAGGCATTGTTATGTGTTGGGGATGCAAAGATGAAAAAGGCATGGCCCAAACCTCACGATGGTCACAGTCTAGAGGAAGAACTCGGAACAGATAATTAGTGTGGAAAATATAGTGAGAGAAAAAAAGCAGAAGAAATTGTACGAGTACAGAGAGGCACTTTATGCATCTTAATAGATGGAGAAGACAGAAGGCAGATGAAATGTCAGCTGAGCCATATTTTAATTCAGTTTAACATTTATTAAACACTTCTTTTATAACATTTTTTTTTTAATTTTTTTTATTTATTTACGATAGTCCTACAGAGAGAGAGAGAGAGAGGCAGAGACACAGGCAGAGGGAGAAGCAGGCTCCATGCACCGGGAGCCCGACGTGGGACTCGATCCCGGGTCTCCAGGATCGCGCCCTGGGCCAAAGGCAGGCGCCAAACCGCTGCGCCACCCAGGGATCCCAAATTTTTTTTTTATAACATGTTTTTTTTTTTAATTTTTTTTATTTATATTAAACACTTCTTAATGAGTATAGATGCAATGTAAGTCTTCTTTCCCTTTAGCCCTTAGGGGAGCTTTTATTCTTATGATGAGCTCATAAAAATTGATATGTGAAACCTGAGTTTTTATTTGTTGGTCTGTAGATTACTGAATACCCTATGAACACTGAAGCCTGATACTTGACTTCATTACATTTTCCATGTATATATTCACTGTTTAGTTGACAAGCTGTGAATTCCGAGTGAACAGTGATTTGCTGTATCATATACCCACAATATTTCCTTTAGCAAGATTGACCTTACTGTTCTCAGTCCTAGTAATGTCATGTTACTATAGGTCATCTACATGGCTTCTTCGCCCTTTTTTCCTAGACTTATCTCGGCAAGTCACTTCTTCCAGATGACTCAACAGAGGATGCTAAATCAAGCAGAATTTGGGCAGCCACTCTTTTGGAAAGGATGCTGAGGAACAGGTACTTAAAAACTGAAAATAATTAGAAACCAAAAGTTGTGGTTTTGAAGAAACTGAATGTCCAGATGCTCATTATCTTGGTCCAGTAAGCATGATGAGTACCTACTGCTTCTAAGCTTCATTGGAGAAACTTTATGACCAGAAGTATATCCTCATGGTAGATTTTTATACTGTAGAATCTCTGCTAGGGGTAGCAGGTTAGAGTCATTTTGTTGATTCTTAGATTTTAAAACCAATAGAACCTGTGTCCTTAGGTTTACTTTTTCTTCCATGGGTGGATATTGAAGGCTGGCACATGCTCCTGAAATTGAAAAGAAGGTTTATTTATGCATAGAGAGCACATGAAAAAAGATCAGTGAGATACATACAACCTACTGGCAGTGTCTCGTGGTTGAATTACTGAATATAAAAGTGGGCAGTGATCAGATCATGGGTGGCTTTGTGGATCACATTGTGAAGTTGGGATGTTGATAGGTAAAGGCAGTTCAGGTGAGGATTTGTTGTGATAAAAAATGGAGAAAGGATTTGACAAGATAAAATGGGAAGGACTTAATTGTATATTGAGAGATAAATTGATGTCCAGTTTTCTAGTGTGAGAATTCTAATTGCAGCATTTAGATGGAAAAGATGTTAATTGAAATTTTGGACGTTTTAAAGTTGAGATGCTTATGATGGAATATTCAGGTGGATGTTCCTAGCAGGTGATTAGATTTCTAATTCTATGGTATTTTGAGAAAAAGATCTGAGCTAGGAATACAATTTGGGTGTTAAAACCATGAAAGTAAATTAGATAACCCAGAAAACAAACCAGAAAATCCATATAGAGACAGAAATTTAGTTCATTGCCAATTCTTCCATACTTAATTGTATGGTTGGGGATAGTGGAAGGTATTAAGGAAAACTTGAAACAAATTAAGAAGGTGGAATTTGAAAAGGTCTTTGGGGTCAGGTTAAAGTGGAAATTTAGTATGACTATCACATTCCTGACTTGGGCAACTGGTTAGATGGTGATGACTTTCCCTAAATTATGGGTTACTGGAGAGGGGAGCAAGAGGCCAATCAGGGTGCTAGATAAGATTTCTCAGAATTATAGCAGTTAAAATAATCCTCTGACTTATCTAGGACTTTGTTGGAGGAAGGGCAAGAGGGGGTTGTTTGAGACCCTCTCCTTGTCAAAAAACAGAATTGTTAATTTAATGTTCTGGCATTATCTGTGGTTCTCAGATATTGATTAGAAATTTTCCTGAATTGTAGAAAAATGAGATGTTGAGTAGATCTGGAAACCTATGATTGCCAAAAGAACAAATACAAAAATTGGCTTTTGATAGAACTGTTCACAAGTGGTTTGCCATATATCCAAGAGTAGAAACTTACTTGAAGCTATATATTATACAGCCTTTGTAAACTAGTCAGATTCTCCAGGCCTGGAATCATTTCTTGGTGACTTCATTTCTCCTTTGATCTGTTGAATTAATTTAAAATTTTAACTTTTAAGGGGCAGTGTTATTTTTGTATTTCCACATGGTGCAGTACTTCTTTTACCAAACAACAACAACAACAACAGAACCCTTACTAATGTGGAGATTTTAGTGGCTTTTTGTTTCTTACTGAATAATAGTTAATTTTAAGTTGGTATTCAAGGCCTGCTTTTATTGAGACCAGTGCTTGTCCAATAGAAGTATGTCATGAATAGTTTAAAATGTTATGATGGCCACATTAAAAAAATTTAAAAAAAAAAGGTAAAGTTAACTTTAGTACATTTTATTTGATCTTATATATTCAGGATGTTATATCAACATGTAATAAAAATTTTATTAATAGTTATTTTATATTAAGCTTTAAAATCTGGAATATATATTATACTTACCACTAAGGTGACCCTGTGTTGTAGGACTTAAAGTGCTAAACTTTCACAGTTGGTCACCTTACTTAACAGCCCATCTCCATTCAGATGCTACATTTTCACCGAAAATACTTGATATATATATTTAGATTTCATAACCTCTACGGTTGGAAAAATTAGATTCACATACCCGAGTTCTTCCTCACATATGTAAAAGTTTTCCTATAACTGAATCAAGGTGTCAGTTTACATTAATTCACATTAAAACTTCAGTTCTTCAGTCATAGTAGCCATACTTAACATGTTTGGCATTCATGTGTAGCCAGTATCAACCATGGTGACAGTGCAGATATAGACCAACCTGTACCTGTCTTGGTGAATCCTACTTATCCTGCCATTGTGCTCCAGCTAAAGTGCACTGGTTGGCTTTTGGGGACATAACCTATCCTTTGCTTGGTTCTACCTGTACTGGCACTGTTCTTACTGTTATTTTTGCTTGAAACCATATTTCCTATTTCTGTATACCCACATCTTGCCCATCCTCAAAAATGTTACACAAATGTCTCCTCCAGAAAGTGTTGTTGATTATTTCTGTCTCTAAGTAATTTCTTCCACATGCATTTCTGAAATACTTGATTTGCACTTCTTTTACTGTTATAGAGCTTTCTGTCTTGTATTACAGTGTTTTCAGTCTGCTCCAGTTTGTCTTCTGTACTCATCATTCCTCTGAAATTGCTCCTCTGGAGCACCAAAAAACTTCCTTTTGTCAAATTCAATAGTCATTTCTATACCTTCCATCTTTCTTGAACCCTTATCACCATCGTCAATTATGATCATTGCTTCTTTTTTTACTTAAACATTTTTTGTTCTGAAATAACTCACACATATAAGAATATAATGATAGTGTATATTTTACTTACATTTTGAAGCACCTCTTTGCCTTTGCCTCATGCTTCTCTCCCCTTCCCAATCCCAGATAACCATTATTCTGAATTGTGTGTTAATAGTTATTTTTCAATACAGTTTTACCACATTAGCATGTGTGTCTAAATACTATATTGTTTCTTGCTGCTTTTGACCTCTCTGTGAATAGAATCATATGTATACTTCAGTGACTTTTTTTGTTCAACATTGTTTTAGCTCTCGTTCATTGTCATGGCTGTATAGTATTCTCTGTAAAATACACCACAGTTTATTCAAGTATCAATGGACATTGAGATTGTTCTCAGTTTTTTCCTATTATAAATAAGGTTGCTATGAATATTCACTCTTGAACATGTCTTTTACTATACTCAGAACATGTCGTTCTCAAGTCAACAGCATCAATATCAAATGGTAACTTGTTATTC